CGATGACACACATTTCGTGTGTTTTATGTGAGCAGTTCTGTTCGAACAGTTGGAGTAGAGAATATTGTAAGTTACTGCTAGCAAAACAATGCGAAATATGTAATTATTTTCGGTAATCCGGACACTTTTGGTAATTTGACACACCTTTGGTCCCATACCTGTCAGACTATCAAGGGACAACTGTATTAATTAAATTAAATAATCCACAACCGTGAGGCAGATAATAGTGAGGGCTTATCAGACCAAATAATGGGCACGAACGCTCACCTGTCTGCACTGATATTGCCTACTGCTCATACTGTTATATTGGCATCTTCATCTTTATATTGTATAGTTTTAGGCATAGTTGCCGTTTACCTTATTTTGTATAATTTTTAATATATCACCTACTTTAGATAATACCTACTGATGACGCTTACTTATATATAGTATAACTTTAGGCTTAGTTTTAAGTTAACCGTTACCTTGTACAATTCTATTATGTCATTACCTTTTATACCAACTGATGAGGGACTGTTTTCTATTAGGAAATAGTCCGAAATGCATTTTGGGTTTTCGTTTTCACACTTATGTAGTAACTTTTTAAGTTTATTAAATTGTTTTCACTTTGATCTCTGAGCGTTCGTGCCATCATTTGGTCTGATAAGCCCTCACTATTATCTGCCTCACGGTTGTGGATTATTTAATTTAATTAATACAGTTGTCCCTTGATAGTCTGACAGGTATGGGACCAAAGGTGTGTCAAATTACCAAAAGTGTCCGGATTACCGAAAATAATTACATATTTCGCATTGTTTTGCTAGCAGTAACTTACAATATTCTCTACTCCAACTGTTCGAACAGAACTGCTCACATAAAACACACGAAATGTGTGTCATCGTGTAAAAATTGGATGGGGAGATTCACATCGCGACATGCTTCTGTGCAAGCAGACACGTAACGGGGACGGGTACCTTGACGGGAGGTGCGTCTGACTACTGAGCATGTCGGATTAAAAAACGTCGGACTATAGAGGGATAACTGTATTATTATATCAAGGGGTAGAAGCAACTTTTGTAATAATTTAGATATATTTTAATTAGTAGATGTTATTGAAGCGATAATTGGCATTTAGAGGGCGTATAGAATCTATTAAATCTAATATAAGAGAGTTAATTATATTGAACTTGCTTATTTATTAAGCGCGTTAGATAATCTATTAATTAAAAATACATTTACAGAAGTCTACGGTTTTTACTGGCTTATCGAACAAACGAATACGAATGGACCCTAGACCATCGCTGACTGATTGCCCCTGGAAGTCGGCTTCTTATAGAAACACAGCTTCCCTATAATCAAATGTCACGGCACGCCACTTCTGGGAACGTTTAATGAACAAATAGGAAAATGGTCTATCTTGCACATAGTGAGTTCGAATCGTTGGAGTAACATATACGATTGTCTATCCATCGACAGAGCAATAATAGGATATTCTGGCTTAAATTGGAAAAAGGTTTTTAATGCAGGGATGTATGTTGAAAATTTGACAATTTCGTACATATCAAAATATCCACTAGGGGTGATTAAGGGAATTTTGGCGAAAATTCGTAGTTTCCCAGGTAAAGCTACAGCAATGGTAGTTATCCATTGGTAATATTTAAACAATGTATCTGGCTTGATAGGTTCGATCATTGCGTAGCCTTCCGGAAGTTGGAGTTTGATGTCTCGCAGAGTTCGTAACATGATTTCTCGTGAGATAAAGTAGGTGCTTAATCGACCTTGTTCTAAAACATCAATTGCCTCTCGTAGTTCCACCAATTGGAAATGCAATTCTTGGACTGAGAACTCGATCGTTCGTAGAATTATCTCAAAGGCTAGATTATATTGGTATAAGTTCATGACTTTTCCAAAAAATTTCTTGTCGTTTAAATAATATATAGATCTGATGTCTATTATGTTTGCTTATATTTAGGGTATCATTTAACAAAGTTGTTTGAGAGAGCAATAATTAAAGAATTCCCTCGTTACGCTATCCAAGGTTCTTTCCCACTGAAACGGGAATATCATTATTAATGCCAAAAATAAGGGAATGGATTTAATTGGAACACCTCTCCTATATTTTATATGACCTCTATTTTTTTTTCATACAATTAATGCCCTATTAATATGCTACAACTCAATTTCTATACCTACGGTGAAAATGATCGACTAGAAGTCGGTGAAGTAAATCGTGAAAAGTGATCACGGGTAGGTCGAGACATCGATGGAGTTGGACTTGTTCCTTGGCGTCGGAATATATATGGAGGAGTTATTTCTAGTTCTCCTTCCGGTTCCGATTCTTCGCTTTCTAGATTACGTTTATCACTCTCAATTTTGCTTTCCATGTATTCTTCCGGTAATGGAGGAAGGATGGAAAACAAAATTGACTCATTCCAAGGATCGGTAATCGATTGTGATTCTTCCTCCGAAGTTTCGATAGGTGATTCGAGGGTAAAGTCCGTGTTATCTTGCTGGGTTCTAAGTCATTTGATTTTTCTCCGTTTCGGTCTCCTCTTCCGGGTTTCTCCGGGTTTTATTTCACTTCGATCAGAACAGATGTTTGAATAGTCCCGAATTTTCTCCCATTTATTTAGGGGGTTCTGCCCTCTCTTCCTTCGGCGCGGCCGTAAGGGTGTGCAAAAATGGATAACTTTACCATCGGATAATAGCATCTGTCTATTCGCAAAATCGAATGTTAGGTGCGCCTCATGAATAAAGTCATTTCCTACAATTCCGTCACATGGGGCCGTAACTACATCTCCCACGACAGCAAATCGCATTCGAAATTTCCTCCCCCTTAATTTCACGGAGGGTATTGCTGTGCCTATCGAGGTAACGGGTTTCCCCAGGATGGGTCCCAATTTTTGTCTCGGTCCAAACTTAACGTAAGCCTTGTTTCTCAATCTGTTTGCCAAATTCTTTGATAGGAGTGTAATATCCATTCTAGGATCGACTCGTACCTTCACTGGGATATTGTTAATATAAATTTGTATAATAGGATTTTGGGTTTCAACGGTTCGGGTGGACCCTATTCTGCCTTTCCACCTTGTCTCGTTCTCATCGGTAGGATAATCAAACATAGCCTCGTTTGGAGACGTTGTATATTTAGTGTTAAATATAGGAAAAGAGTTTCGATTTTGTTCCTGTTTATAGATCCGCCGATGGTGATATATAGGAGATCATCGCTTCGGCTTATTTATAGGATACGATAAGGTAGTATCGCCTTTAGGCTCAAATTGAGGTCGTCGACCTTTGATACTATGCACATTGCCTTTCCAACGGTTTTTCGTTGGTTCCGAAGGTTGCGCGCGGAAGCGGACCCGATTTTGTTCAGGTCTTGCGTCACTTCGCTGTGGGGAGTCGTTGCGTGGGCGTGCGCCTCGATTATTATTATTATTCTCTAGGCGATCAGGAAAATTTTGTGTTCGATTTTGTCTAGATCTGTTATTCGGTTGGTTAGATCGATTATACGACCGATATTCGTTGCGCCTAAAAGCTGGAGTAGGATATGCTCTATTATTATTATTCCCTCTCTGATTTCGATAGAACGGCACATTTCTAGAATTGATTCGAGGGGAGGCTCGGGTTAAACCGTCCACACGCGTTTTCAGCTCGTTCATCGCTGCCGTTAGTTGTTGTAGATCATTGAATGAAGGAGAGGAAGTTGTTGACCGGTCTCCTTCTCGCACAGTTCGCATGATTCCCCGCGGACGTGCCGTGATGTTTTCTATTAACTCCTCGCTAATCGCTGCCTTTAACGCCTCGTCAAAGTTAACGGGTTCTCTAGACATCGTCCGTTGCCTTATGCTTATGTCGATCCCATTTAAAAATTGGGCCTTCAGTCGCTCATCGAGCTCTTTAGCTTGAACCCTTTGGATAATCGCGGTTTCTTCTTCATTGGCCCCCGGCTCCGGTGTGATCACTATCTCCATTGCCAGAGACTGCAGACGAGCGGCATACGCCTGCACACCCTCCTCCCGTTTCTGAACACAAGTGTAAAATTTATTTAGTCGTACAGGAAAAGGTTCGCGTTCAAAACGCTCTATCATTATACGTTTGAATTCATCAAATTCATCTACTGCTTTAATCCTATAATCCTTCCGGACAAATTCTCGGGCTATTCCCGTAAGCAGGGGTGCACAACCTGCGGCCCGCGGGCCACATATGGCCCCTTATCAATGTTTATGCGGCCCTCCGGACGGTACAGACCTAATAATAAAAAACTTCGTACGTTATCACCTCCAAAAATTCGCCTCCAAAAATCTTAAGTCAAAGTTTTATTACGAGAAACACAAGGACACATATAAATTCCATTGATGTAAGGATGACGCCGCTTTTTTCAAAACTGACAGTTAGGTTGCGTCGAAGTCCGACGAGTGCATCTTTGGATTAGAGAAATAGCTATGTTTTTATTTTATTGAATAAATTGAAAATTGTTTTCTGATGAGCTAATAAATGTTTCAGGAAGAAATCGAAGGAAACGTGTTATTTGGGTGTCTTCTTGCTGTTCGTTTTAGCTCCGTCTTCGGATCAATAACGTGATTTTCAGTCTTGATGGAAGGCGATAACCTCGTTGAGGATCTCACTAGAAAGAAAACAGGAAGAATTTTTACGAAGCAGAAGAGGATAATAATACATTTTTCGGGTAACATTTGGTGATGTATCGAATATCCTTATTGTTTGTGGATTGTGGTAACAAGTATTGTAGTATTTTACTTGTCTTTTTTGACTGAAGTATATTAAATTAGTAAGTAGATTTCTAGTATAAAAATAAAAGGAAAGAATCTTCGTAAGACAGAGTTTATCTGATATACTTGTTTCTGAACAAAGCGGATAAAACTATTTTAAATATCCTATTAATAATTAATTAATGCATTTCACACGTATACGTATTCCTGTTTAAGAAAATTAACTTAAAATCGTTTATTTTCCAGATCTTGAATCCACACAGCTTTAATTTTGTGGCGTGACTTGTCCAAGAAAGAATTTCTAAAATTATTTAATTTGTTTTATAAAATTTTTGTATCTGATTTTATTCAAAACTTTATTTTTAGATTCACTATCAATTAATAGAGAGAAGAGTAACAAATGAAAAATTGTTTCCAGGAAAAAGGATGAGTCGAGGAATGCGTTCAACTTCTGTTTACAAAAGACTACATTGAAGAGTGTGATAAGAAATTATACAAGAATATGAAAAAAGGAAGAATATATGTCAAGCAAATGAACAGAAAATGAAATGAAGATATTTTAAATAATTTCCAAATATGTTATTTGTTAAAATACACTTCGTATAAATTGTTTTGAAATAAATGTATAAATTACATTAATTTGTGGTAGTATGTTTATACTATTTGGAAATATTCACAAATACTAATGTAAGCAGTTTATGTATGATCTATGGTGTGATGTCATGTGGTCCAGATAATTGCAAGGTTTAAACGTTAGTTAAAAGAAACTTGTTAGAAGAAAAAAATTTCCTTTCATCTACGCACACACTTTAACAATCCTTTAAAATCAGCGATTAATTTTAGATATTTACATATTCGATTTGCAATAAATTAAAGGGTTTTAATGCTCTTATCATATTTTACAGGTTTAAACAATCAGAAGTCAAGACATGGGAAGTATCGATGTGACAGTTGCGAGAAAGAATTCATTTCGGAAAAGGGGTTAAAATATCATCGAAGAATTCATACTGGAGAAGGGCTCTTGTCTTGCCAATACTGCAATCGTCAGTTCACCCAATCGTGTCATCTACTTGACCACGTCAAGACTCACACCAGAGAGAAACTCTTTGTCTGTGATCATTGCAAACGAAGTTTTACACAAAAATCAAATCTGATTGCACATCTCCGAATTCACACAGGGGAGAAGCCATTCTCGTGTAATTATTGCTCACAAATATTTCGTTTTAAATTTTCTTTAAAGTATCATATTACTAAACATCATAATAGTAATGAATAATGACTTTTATGGAAATGATTTTAGTACATTTCTTCGAAACATATGTAATACTCGTATTTTATTGAACATGAAACAAGAAGTTTCTAAAGTTCTATTCGTTTTGTAACTTTCATTTTGTATATAAAACAATTGATTTTATGTACCGAAAAAGATGGTTTTTAGAATAAATACAAATTTCATTGATTAAAAACTAATATAGTTATTTTTTACTTGTTTAAGTACGGGTCATTTACGGGCGATAACATTTATTTATATTATTTACGGGTAATTTCGTTTATTTTTAGAATAATGTATTCAGAAATATGACAAGTAGTCGTGTTTGTACGAAAATCAATTATTGTCACTCGCTTTATTGACAGATCCGAAAGCGATTACAATAAGTGAATTTTACTGTAAACGTTGTTTTTTATATCGTAAACAGTAAAAAACTTTAAATCAGGAAGTGTCATTTTTCTTTCAATCTTCCTCGCCATCTAAAGGAAAATCTTTATTTTATATATTAAGTTTTTTTTTAAATTATTTAAAATATTTACCTTTAATTTGATTTTANAAAAATTATACTTCACATGTTAATTTAGTATCAAAAACGTAAAATATTTGAGTAGCCCAAGACATAGCCAAAGATTGAAGCGCCACAGCAATGGCGAAAATTTAAATTTGCCAACTGGAATTCTTTTGGATGATTGACTTTCGGAAAATCGACGCTCTACTGTATATTCAAGTATAATAAATACAATTATTATTTTATTTCTGTAACTT